TGTATGGACAACAAAAACTTCAAATCCAAGTGCCTAAATCTGAGTTAGAGAGGGTTCATAAACTATTTAATACTGCAATAGAACTTCTAGAAAAATATATTGAAGTGGCTTATCCTAATTATGAAATTAGAAAACAAATTCGCAATGATAATATTAAAGTTAATGACCCAAGCAAAATTGAGAGTATGCTGGCAAATTTACTGTTTGGACTTAAAACAGAAATAACAGGCAAATCAACATTTTTTTGTGATGAAATAAAGCAAGCAAGCAGTAATTAAGTATAAGTTAATTAAAGGTGGTTCTAAAACTAAGGATTTTCACAAGTTCTTGTCTAGAATTAAATTTACTACTCATTTGCTATTAGATAATGCTCGGATACATCATGCTACTGATTCATGTAGGAAAGTTAAATTGTCTACTATTGCTGAGTTAGCAAGGAAAAAGAAAATTGAACTTGTATACTTGCCTGGTTATTCACCTAAACTAAATCCAGTAGAGAAGTGTTTTAGTGTGATAAAGAATTATTATCGCCAACAAAGACCAAGAACTGAGAGGCAGTTAAGGAGAGTTATTAAGGAAGCAATAGCAAAAATACAGCAACTAGATTTAACTAAAACTTTCAAGAGTTGTTTTAGTTTGTAAAATTCTTGTATACTGACATTAATTTTGAAAAATGCTATAAATCTTTTAAAGAAGACAAAATATTTTTCCTACTTTTGCGGTAAGTTTTATGGTTGGGGTCAAAAAGTAATGATTGGAAGAGACTATTATGCTTAGTAGGTTGGTTTTTTTCTAGTATTCCGAATAATCTAACTTTTTGGCTGAGCGTTATTTGTCAGATATGTTTTCTTTCTAGTTCGGCGATTTCCTTTTTGTTCCAAGTTAATTAACTTGCCAATCCGATGTTTTATATATTCATTGACCTCATGACAATTATTCGTGTCTTCCTCAAATTCTCTCAATCTTTATTGCTACAATCTTGCATAACTACAAAAGAGTTAGCCAGTAATAATTTTACTTCTTCTCTTTTTACAGCATTAGTGAAATCTTCGGTATGAATACAACCGACAAACATTTTGCTAAAATCAAAAAGAGTTTTCGGCATGAATCTATGTTCCTAAAGAATTGGTAACAGTGGCTAATCTGATGATAGGCCGAGATTTTAAACTGCCATTTAAAGGTTTACGAGTGATTTTTCAAGCTTTATCTTTGGCTTTTTCGTAGAAATCAAGGGTTTTTTTTCGAGTTTCGTGTTTTTTATACTGCTGATAAATGCCTTCTAAATATTGAACAACTGTTTTATTTTTGATATTAGGCACCTTATCAAATAGTCCTTCGTAAGTTTCGTTTCCTTCGAAATAATCATGCACAGCATAAAAAACCGAATGGAGGGTCGGATCACCTTCCCATGCTCGAAATTCTTCTTCGAAAAGTAGGGTATTTTCTTTTTTTAGTATTTCTCGTTAAGAAAGATAAAGTAAGTCCTGCATGATGGAGTTGGTTTCGGTTTCAATACCTTTTTCGTAAAAGTATTTAGCCACTGACAATGGCTCAATATTCAGGTTTTTTATTTTAGCATTTATTTTTTGGGCTACCATGGTATTATACAATTGTTTTAACTTTTCGCTAATTACACGGAAAAATTAAAAAATCTCCTCACAGACGCACGCGATATTAACATAATAGAGGAAAATAAGTCGTTGTTTTTTTTAGAAAGGTTAGGAGGCGACAGAAAAGGGGTCAGGTTAGCCACCAAAGAAAAAAGACCGCAATATCCTAGCGGGAGCGATTGACCGACTATTAAGGAACACCGCCGAATTGAGGAATTAGTTAGAAAGTATGGAGAGCATGGAGAAAGAACCGGCACTAGACGAGGCAGATTATATTTTGAGGTTTGGGATGTTGACATTACTCACTTGGCTCAACGATTACCGCTCTGATTACAAAAACAAATCAGGACAAATTTCGAGTTGGTAGCCAAGATTTACCGGTTTAGTTATGTAAAAACTCAGCATGGTTATCAAGTTTATTTACTTTTTGAGGAATTAAGTCCGAATTGTGAAATATATCACCGCGACAGTTGACAAGGAATTAAAAGAAATGTTGGCAGTATATTGAGTAAAGGTCGCCAAGTTCAGGGGGTAAGTAGTAAGTTTAAAGAATGGGTAAATAATGGGACTTGATTTTGAAAATTAAAAAATGTGGCAGAATTAGCCGCCATCCTTAAAAAATTTTTCTTTGAAGTTGATTTAGGTAAGGAAAAAATAAACCAAAATGTAAATCTTATTACAAAGTGCAAAATTATTTTCCGCTTTTTTATTATCAGGAATAGAAAGATATTAATAAAATTAATATTTTCTGATAATCTTGCCTTCAAAAACAGACATTTATTTTGCACACGGT